GTAGGTCGATAGGCTGGTAGACAGGCAGGCGGGCAGGCAGGTTGTTGGTTGTTGGTAAGTATGTTTGTATGTCTGTACAGAGACACGTGCGTGTGGCACATGTTAAACAATATATAGCTATCCATAACATACAATTAAATTTAGTCACACATCCAAATAATTATATTGCACGCTACATGTTTTGTTAGGAAGAAATCTATATTTATAGAATAGATTCAACGCAATAGTTTCATGCGCATAAGTGCATGCCATTACTAACTCAAACAATCAGGCTGTATTAATATTTTTATTGTTTACAGGTTTGATACAGGGCCCAACAAGTCATTACGGCTTAATGTCGGTAAATCGTGTATTGTCAATACACCCAACTAGTACGTGTGCTAATTAATTTACATACGTCCAGTGTCTGTTGATGTCTGCAGACAACTGTCTGGCGTTATCTCCAACTAATGTACACTATCATCTGTCTGGAGACACAGTGTCTTCATGTCACGTGTAACCTTCCTGCAGTGATCAGTGATCATTGAATTCGGTGTGTGTGTGTGTGTGTGTGTGTGTGTGTGTGTGTGTGTGTGTGTGTGTGTGTGTGTGTGTGTGTGTCTGTGTGTCTGTCTGTCTGTGTGTGTGTGTCTGTGTGTCTGTTGTGTGTGTGTCTGTGTCTGTGTCTGTGTCTGTGTCTCCGTGTGTCTGGAAATACCATGACGCAGTTAAACATTGATACCCAACTCAGACACACTTTATTGATTCCGAACCAACCAGTCCTTGTTTGTTCCTCTTAATGTCGAGCGTCTCCAGGTAGACGCTCTATCCACTACACCACGGAGGCGGTCTCCAGGTAGACGCTCCATCCACTACACCACGGAGGCGGTCTCCAGGTTGACGCTCTATCCACTACACCACGGAGGCGGTCTCCAGGTAGACGCTCTATCCACTACACCACGGAGGCGGTCTCCAGGTAGACGATCTTTCCACTACACCACGGAGGCGGTCTTCAGGTAGACGCTCTATCCACTACACCACGGAGGCGGTCTCCAGCTAGACGCTCTATCCACTATACCCCGGGGGCGGTCTCCAGGTTGACGCTCTATCCACTACACCACGGAGGCGGTCTCCAGGTAGACGCTCTATCCATTACACCACGGAGGCGGTCTCCAGGTAGACGCTCTATCCACTACACCACGGAGGCGGTCTCCAGGTAGACGCTCTATCCACTCCACCACGGAGGCGGTCTCCAGGTAGACGCTCTATCCACTACACCACGGAGGCGGTCTCCAGGTAGACGCTCTATCCACTCCACCACGGAGGCGGTTTCCAGGTTGACGCTCTATCCACTCCACCACGGAGGCGGTCTCCAGGTAGACGCTCTATCCACTACACCACGGAGGCGGTCTCCAGGTAGACGCTCTATCCACTACACCACGGAGGCGGTCTCCAGGTAGACGCTCTATCCACTACACCACGGAGGCGGTCTCCAGGTAGACGCTCTGTACACTACACCACGGAGGCGGTCTCCAGGTAGACTGTCTATCCACTACACCACGGCGGCGGTTTCCAGGTAGACGCTCTATCCACTACACCACGGAGGCGGTCTCCAGGTAGACGCTCTATCCACTACACCACGGGGGCGGTCTACTGGGAGACATTCTGTCCACTACACCACGGAGGCGGTCTCTAGGTAGACGCTCTATCCACTCCACCACGGAGGCGGTCTCTAGGTAGAGGCTCTATCCACTACACCACGGAGGCGGTCTTCAGGTAGACGCTCTATCCACTACACCACGGAGGCGGTCTCCAGCTAGACGCTCTATCCACTACACCACGGAGGCGGTCTCCAGGTTGACGCTCTATCCACTACACCACGGAGGCGGTCTCCAGGTTGACGCTCTATCCACTACACCACGGAGGCGGTCTCCAGGTAGACGCTCTATCCACTACACCACGGAGGCGGTCTCCAGCTAGACGCTCTATCCACTACACCACGGTGGCGGTCTCCAGCTAGACGCTCTATCCACTACACCACGGTGGCGGTCTCCAGGTAGACGCTCTATCCACTATACCCCGGGGGCGGTCTCCAGGTTGACGCTCTATCCACTACACCACGGAGGCGGTCTCCAGGTAGACGCTCTATCCATTACACCACGGAGGCGGTCTCCAGGTAGACGCTCTATCCACTACACCACGGAGGCGGTCTCCAGGTAGACGCTCTATCCACTCCACCACGGAGGCGGTCTCCAGGTAGACGCTCTATCCACTACACCACGGAGGCGGTCTCCAGGTAGACGCTCTGTACACTACACCACGGAGGCGGTTTCCAGGTTGACGCTCTATCCACTACACCACGGAGGCGGTCTCCAGGTAGACGCTCTATCCACTACACCACGGAGGCGGTCTCCAGGTAGACGCTCTATCCACTACACCACGGAGGCGGTCTCCAGGTAGACGCTCTATCCACTACACCACGGAGGCGGTCTCCAGGTAGACGCTCTGTACACTACACCACGGAGGCGGTCTCCAGGTAGACTGTCTATCCACTACACCACGGCGGCGGTTTCCAGGTAGACGCTCTATCCACTACACCACGGAGGCGGTCTCCAGGTAGACGCTCTATCCACTACACCACAAGGGCGGTCTACTGGGAGACATTCTGTCCACTACACCACGGAGGCGGTCTCTAGGTAGACGCTCTATCCACTCCACCACGGAGGCGGTCTCTAGGTAGAGGCTCTATCCACTACACCACGGAGGCGGTCTCCAGGAAGACGCTCTATCCACTACACCACGGAGGCGGTCTCCGGGTAGACTGTCTATCCACTACACCACGGCGGCGGTTTCCAGGTAGACGCTGTATCAACTACACCACGGAGGCGGTCTCCAGGTAGACGATCTTTCCACTACACCACGGAGGCGGTCTCCAGGTAGACGCTCTATCCACTCCACCACGGAGGCGGTTTCCAGGTTGACACTCTATCCACTCCACCACGGAGGCGGTCTCCAGGTAGACGCTCTATCCACTACACCACGGAGGGGGTCTCCAGGTTGACGCTCTATCCACTCCACCACGGAGGCGGTCTCCAGGTAGACGCTCTATCCACTACACCACGGAGGCGGTCTCCAGGTAGACGCTCTATCCACTACACCACGGAGGCGGTCTCCAGGTAGACGCTCTATCCACTAAACCACGGAGGCGGTCTCCAGGTAGACGCTCTATCCACTACACCACGGAGGCGGTCTCCAGGTAGACGCTCTATCCACTACACCACGGAGGCGGTCTCCAGGTAGACGCTCTATCCACTCCACCACGGAGGGGGTCTCCAGGTAGAGGCTCTATCCACTACACCACGGAGGCGGTCTCCAGGTAGACGCTCTATCCACTACACCACGGGGGCGGTCTACTGGGAGACATTCTGTCCACTACATCCCGGTTTCGATCTCTGTGTAGCCGTACTATCCACTACACCAAAGGGCGGTCTCTAGGTAGACGCTCCATACACTACACGCGACTGTGCTTGTCGTAAAGGGCGACTAACGGGATCGGGTGGTGGCTCGCTGACTTGGTTGATGCATGTCATTGTATACCAATTGCGTGGATCAATGCTCATGATGTCAATCACTGGATTTTCTGGTCCAGACTCGATTATTTAGAGACCGCCGTCATATAGCTGGAATATTGCTGAGTGTGGCGTTAAACAACAAACAAACAAACAAAACAAACAAACATATTTGCAGTGTCTGTTGATCATTACACAATATGTGCCTACAGTTTGAAAGAGTTGTTCAGCACTATCAAAAACCATATGTCAATAAATATAACCGACAAAACCCTTCCCGTATTCATAAAAAAACTCTGTAAAGAAAATAGTAAAGTTAGGTTAATTAATATTAATTTCACACATACACATATTTTCTCCTGGGCATTTCTCTTGTTAAGAGCTTATGTACACGAATCGAGTCCGGGCCAGACAATCCAGTGATTAACATCATGAGCATCGATCCACGCAATTGGGACACGAGACATGCAGGCGAGACCAGGTCAGCGAGCCTGACCACCCGATCCCGTTAGTCGCCTCTTACGACAAACGTAGTCACCTTTTTACGGCAAGCACGAGTAGCTGAAGACCTATTCTACCCCGGATCTTCACGGATCTTTAACAAAGGCATACTAGCACCAGTGTATCGGCTTCGCATCATCAAATGCGCAACATACCCTGGGGAAATATTAACTTTTGGACACAAACCACCATATTTTACGTCTAGTTTATCTACTAAGGTATCATTGCTATGTTAGATTCCTGAACAATGAGGGGGCGGTCGGGTAGCCTAGTGGTTAAAGAGTTCGATCGTCACGGGTTCTATTCCCGACATGGGTACAATGTGTGAAGCCCATTTCTGGTGTCCCCCGCCATGATATTGCTGGAATATTGCTAAAAGCGGCGTAAAACCACACTCAGTCACTCACCTAAACAATGTTTCATCTTTACATGCATTTCAAGTGTCCTACAAAATATTAATATCAATGCACTAATTATCGAGTGCATTTGTCCACATAGTAACATGTCTTGACACCACGACAAATGGTGGGGAATTCAAATATCATTCTCAGCTCCCCGGGTAATATCCAACCTAAGTTGACCACCAGGCAGTAGAAGGGTTACAGTGACTTTCTTCGTTCAGAAGCACAAACGTTAATTCGCTTATGATCAACTTCACCGCCTCCGTGGTCTAGTGGTAGAGCGTCCGCCCAGAGAGCGAAAGGTGCGGGGTTCGATCCCAGGTCGTGTCATACCCAAAGACGTTAAAAGATTGTACTTGTTGTTATCCTGTCTGGATATTAAGGGCGTAAAACAAGGACTGGTCGGCGCGGAGTCAGTACACTGTGTCTGAGTGGAGTATTCTTGTTAAACTGCGGCATGGTATCTCAGTGGGCTAGCACTATAAATCCGCATCAGTCCGGACTAGTACAAGCAGCCACACACACACGTGTATGCACGTCACTATAGAAGTGCAATAATCTTGGACGCGACGTGAAGCCCCATTTCACCTCACCATTTCATGATAAACTTACGTCAAAGACAAAGCAAAGAGTGAGTGAGTGAATTTTGTTTTATTCTGCATTTAGCAGTACTCCAGCAATATTACGAAGTGGACACCAGAAATGGACAGACATAGTTCCATACTGGAAATCGAACCTGGGCCTTCGGCTTGACGAGCGATTACTTTGACCCCTGGGCTATTCCACCAGCCCACATACCAATGTACCACCTGTCCGTTAAGTTGCAATATGTGACATTTCCTTCGAACTTTCACGAACAGCTAATGTTGAATATCTTGATATCTCCGTTCCATTGAGCTACGTACACAACTCCATTGGCATCGATGTCAATGCTGTATGGGCCAGTTATTCCGTCCGCCTTTACCAGGTACTCTTTAGCAGCATTCCCATCTTCAAAGATTTTCACAATCTTATGATTGTCACAATCCACAACCAAAATATCTCCTAACATATCCAGCGCAACCCCCATTGGGTACTGAATGGGCACGTCGCCCTTCCCATGGTACTTGAAGATGACATCGCCAGACACCGTCAGGCACGTGATCATCTTCCGTTCACAGTCTGACGTGATAATGTTTCGTTCAGGTGTTGTACATAAATAGAAGGGATAGTCAAAAAGATGGTCACCCTGTCTATCCTTATCGATAGAGTGGAGAATATTCCCTTTGTAGTCCACAATGTCCACTGAGCCTGGGAATATCTTGTACGTACTCACTGCCAAGGTTTCTGAATCCAGCATGCCAATACCTCTGTAGCCTTTTGAAGTTTTAATATCCTTGTCTCGTTTTAGGGTAGGGGTTATTTTGTAGATCCTGATTATCCTAGAATCTGGAAGGGTGACGCCGACTTTGCCATTGCCTACTTTAGCTACCCCTCTTGGTTGAGTTGGCGTGGATTCGCGACTGTAAAACGAAAGGTCTTCCCGTTTGTAAAACGATTTGACGCATTTGTTGGACCTGTCTGTGACCACAACGACAAAGATTAACTCCACGTTCACAACAGCGATGTCGTTCAGTTTCGGATTCGTCTTGTCGCCTTCTACCTTCGTAGGAAGAATGCTTGTCTGGATAGTCCTCCCGACGAAGGGTTCATCACAGCAGTCGGTAGGAGAATCGGGGGAGGAGGAACTCAAGTAGCGTTTCATCACACTCACGCCTCGATCATCGTAGACAGCATCTACATCTCCAAACGGCAAATTATTCACAGTTCTCATTAACTCCCCAAAGTTGACACTGAGGTTTAGGTCAATCAATCTTGGTTGCTCTTCATCGTATGCTACCCCAATTTGTACACGCTTCTGTGTCAACGATCTTTCGGCTTGTGTTGCTTCCTCCAGAGAACCTGACCGCGTCAGTTCTTGGATATGGTCAGCAGCATGTCTGGTTTCAATAACCGATGCCTCTTTATCCCTGATATCCAGAAGCAGCTTCTCTCTCTCGGTGCAGAAGATGTCATTGAGCCTCTCTACAAGGTCTTCCTTCTTTCTCTGCAAAACCTCCTGCGTCGTCTCAAGGATGTGCTCCAGCTCCTCCTCCACCCTGTCCCGCTTGGTGCTGAGGTAGTCCAGCCGCGTCTGGTAGCTGTCAATGTCTGACTCCATCTGCTGTAGTGGGCTAGGAAGGTCATCATGAGTCTCCTGCATCTTTCGGTATTACCTCTTCAGCTGAAAGAAAATGGGAGGAATATTAGTGAGTTCGTCCTGTATCGGCCTAGCTACCGGTATTACCTTTACAGCTGAAATAATATGGATGTTAGATCAGTGAGTGAGTCCTGTCGTTGGCGAGCGAGAGCATCGTGAGTCTCCTGCATCATGCTGTATTACCTGTTCAGCTGAAATTATATGGAAGGTGTATTAGTGAGTGAGTCCTGTATCGGTGTCATCGTGAGTCACCCGCATCTTCTTGCGGTATTACCTTTATAGCTGAAATAATATGGATGTTATACAAGTGTGTGTGTGTGTGTGTGTGTGTGTGTGTGTGTGTGTGTGTGTGTGTGTGTGTGTGTGTGTGTGTGTGTGTGTGTGTGTGTGTGTGTGTGTGTGTGTGTGTGTGTGTGCTTTAACGCCTCGAACAGTTTTTGGAACAGATGCGGCAAGGGATGAAGATCGTTGACGTTTATGACTTTGGAATTGAAGAAACATAACAAATGAAACGATTTAGAGACATGTCTAAAATGACTAGATCTAGTGACGCACATGGCATTCACAGATTCAGTCACTGAGTGAGTGAGTGAGTGAGTGAGTGAGTGTGCTTTTACGCCGCTTTTAGCAATATCACGGCGGGGGACACCAGAAAAGGGCTTCAAATATTGTACCCATGTGGTGACTCGGACCCGGTTCTTCGGCGTGGCGTGCGAACGCTTTAACCACTAGGCTACCCCACCACCCGATTCAGTCACAATAACTGGCGCAAAATAATTCGACCAACTGACAATGGCAAACTGAACAGTTGTTATGGAACATTATTATATTTAACGATGAACGCAAACTGAATAGGTTCAGGCAAGATGAATATGGTTACTGACAAAAACAAGATGAACAAATTTAGCATTGCATGTAAAATGAATAGCAAAAGACGAATAGATCTAGTGATGTACACAAAATGAATAGGTATCGTGACAAAGGTATTATGCAAATTGTAAACTACGGGTATAACGAACTCAGAGGGGCTCTAACTTTTGTTCGTTGTAACCGTAGTTCGTTATAAAATATACAGCAAATGACCGGGACAAAAACGGACAATTCGTTATATCCGTCAGTTCGTTATAAGCGTGTCCGTTATAAACTTAGTTTACTGTAACGTCATACGTTGAACAGGTTCCCTAGTAATAAACACCAGTACAAAAGTCTGACTATGCATGCCTTGTGCTGAATTGAACGTGACAGTAAACCAATAGTTTCCTATCAGTCGTGTTGAGGATGATATTCAGGTCATGCATGTCTCCCAGGCCTGCATAAGGAAGTATCAGTATGTTTTCAGTCCCCGGTTGTATAGAAAAGCAGGAAACCAACTATTATCTGTCATCTGAGGAAGTGAACTACACACCACTTATCACACAATGACGGTTTAATAAATTTGCACTTAAATGGGTTTTTTAATTCGGTTCCTACTTCATCGATAAAGCGTTATCCTGCTCATTTTATTTCTAAATTTATTTTATTTTATTTTTTAACCGTCCTGTACTCTTTCATTCTGTGACCTTTGATCACTCTCTTTAAAACAAATATAAGCATAATATACTTTGAAGTGCTATTATAAATTATGAGGGTATGAATTAAATATTCCAAACGTCAACGTCTCGTAGTTGCGTTGTACTTTGAAAGCGACGTGCATAATATATCCTCGGAATATTTATTGTGAAACTTACAGTTATTTAAGCTTTTGTCCAGTGGACACAGTTTATTGATAACAACTTCTTTATATTACTGTAACACTGCAGCGTTAGAAACTAACAGTTTTCGTCCACTTGTCCTTATAATGATAACATATAGCAAAACCCTTATAAATGGCAATTTTCTACTAGTCCTTATGATACCTTTACCATTGGGCAGTTTGGCAAGGACTATAGGACTAGTGCCAATTTCTAACCCTGACTGTAATGGCGACGTTTCGGTATAGATCCTCATACTGTTGTCAAACAAGGCTGAATAATGAACAAGGTACCGACAATAAATACATGACACTTTTTTATGGATAGCAACTTCTTTTAGTCTTTGTTCTCCCGAATTCTGAATGCCCATCAAAGACTTCGTACAGAATATGTATAGGAGGTGGAGGATTGAAATAAATAATAACATACAGCATGATCGACAGTAAACACATGATGGCGAAGCCAATAAACAGAAAGCCAATTAAACAGGAGCCAATTTTCAAGTATATACTTTTTCTCCAGCAGTTTATAATCTTTGAACTGATACAATTTATATACGAACAAACTGAAACCTCTCTTACTCGATATATTGCTTAATACGAAGTAACGCCATGTTCCAATCTTTATCCACACAATGCTCTGCTTTATTCGAATTTCGAATAACTCGATAATTTTCCAATGGTCGACATGACACAGGTGCCGATGTGTTGCACAAACAGGTAAGGCTTGTCAGATTAGATAAGTATCCTTGGATGCTATACTGTAGTATTTCATCTGATATCTTTTGTAACAGGACCAAGTATGTGACAATGAGCACATAAATCACGCGTTACGCGATAGTGAGATGACGCCTTGTCTACCTCAGAGCACAATCATAGACATCAGATTAGATAACGGTAGAGGATGAAGGCCATATGATAATAAACACAAAAAGAACTTGATCTACAGATGTGAAATATTCATGCACAATAGTGAGTGAGTGAGTTGGGTTTAACGCCGCTTTTAACAGTATTCCAGTTATATCACGGCGTGTCAGCTTTATGTGGGAGGAAAGCCCGAAGTGATGCAGGTCTCAGACGTTCACACTTCAGCGAAACCCACGAGCACTAGTATGGTGCTGACAAACCTAGAAACATAATCGGGGCGAACCGGGACTCGAACTCACAATTATAGGTTTCAGGCGTGTCCAAGGGACGCAACTCTGCATAGCGAATCGCAGCGCCTTAGACGAATGCTCCAACCGTAACCCCGCACGCACAATAGAGAAACATCACTATAAAACATCTACGGAGAATATAATCAGTCTCGGTTTTCTGCCGAAACATTACACTGGCATAAATGTAAACTAGTGGTGAAAATTATATGAATGGATTACTGAAAATCAAATATGACACCAGATGTTCGCGAAAAGGGTAATCACGTCCTGTTTAAGTAGATGTAACCTGCGAAGATGAAGGATTATTGACATGCACAGATAGTATAGTTTTTAAAGAGCGACTGCATTCTACGATCAAGTGCCCAGCTTCAGCCGAGGCCTTGACATTGTAATTAGAGCCCAGTGTTAAACTGGGACACTGTCTTTGTGTAATGAGGAGTATCATTAACTAATGGTTTGTGAGGATTGCACATCAAAAATAAAGCCAGTGGTTTTATCCGAGGGTACCGTCATCTTGTTTTCCAAAACCTGTTCCGGTTTTTGTTGTCGATCTAGAGTCCTTCTTCAACTTTCAATTCTTAAAGATATTGGGGTTAATTGGTCAAGTAAGAGACTGGTAAATGTAAATTTAAAATATTTTAGGATTCCTTGCCGGTCGGGTAATCTGTTGCTGCCAGTTGTGACATATAAAAGAAACGAAGTACGGGCGAAGGGATACGGTAACCGCTTCCAGTCTCACTCAAACTTTATTGAAACGGTTCATTCTTGACATTAATTAATGACGAGTGAATAATTGTTGTTTTATGACTCAGTCAGTGATATTAACTTGATGTTACAAAACAATGGTTTGTGTACCTAGATTCGGTTATATCCAAACCCCAGTCGTAGATGTCTGTCGCTCAATGCCGTGAAAAACACCATTCACACACCCAAGACGGTGGGTATCTTAACAGATTACCTTTCTATAAATGGCCCTGAATCCTGGTTCGCCCCGATTATGTTACTAGGTTCGTCAGCACCATACCCGTGCTCCTGGGTTTGACCGAAGTGCATCACTTCGGGCTTTCCTCCCACGTTAAGCTGACACGCTGTGACATATCTGGAATGCTGTTAAAGGCGGCGTCAAACCCAACTCACTAACTTACTTTATATGGCCAGTTCATGATTACCTGTTTGATATCAACATGATATAATAAAATGCCAAACAAACAGACCATATTTAAATTGTTAATATAGCAAATGTCAACTTCGAGATAAAGGTACAAAATTGTACAGAAAGTCACAGTTGGGACCGAATTCGAGATAAGCGGTCAAAATTATATGTATTTATTTGGTGAGGTGGGGGGGACTGGAAAATAGGTTCGGGATATCGGTACATTCGACATAAAGGATTTCGTGACAACGGGCTGACTGTAATTTAAAGCCACAAAAACATGTTCTTAATTATAGAAATCTCTGCAAAAAAAGACAGTCCGTTGTACGATTCCGACTATGTCATAAACATGTGTTTATGATTCACTATCAAATAGTGATGTTACCAGGTGTTCGAGAAAAGGTAAGCCCAGCCTGTCCTACCGGCGAGACTAACAAGCAGAAAAGGAAAGCGAATAACCGTTCTTCGTAAATCAACTGTTAAAATTCACGCAAATATAAACGTTACTAATTTCTTACAAACTTGCTGTTGGTCTTTGTAAAGGGAAGACATCGCCTACGAATCAATTAGACAGTGAAATTTAACACAGCACATGTGACATTGCCCTGAAATACACAGCGGGTCGTCGGCCCTGCAGTTTATGTGGTCACTGTGTCAATACATTCACACAGAGGCCAGCATTGATAACGTGGCGCAGTTTGGTTACCAAGTTTTAAAAAATCAAAATATCGATTCAGGGTGAAATGCTGTTACTTCAAACGATTAATTTATAAAACAATAACTCATTGACCCTCTGTGTTAACATGCAAAAACCTTACCTCTGTCAGTAACATATATTATATGGCGGTGTGTTTGGATTGCTCGTGACGTACTTCCGGGTTGCGATATCAGCCGGCTTCATAACGCGAATCTATGATTCATAGGAAATAAGGCGACACTGTGAAGGTCATTTAGACATGCCTCTGTGTTTTCATTTTCGAAGCAACTTTCCGGGTAGGCGTCAAGCATGAAAGTCGCTGAAAACTAAAATATCAAAAGGTGCCACGAGGTGAAATGGGGTTTAACGTCGCGTCCAAATTTATTGTGTGTGTGTGCGTGTGTGTGTGTGTGTGTGTGTGTGTGTGTGTGTGTGTGTGGCTGCTTGTAATAGTCCCAACTGATGCCGATTTATAGTGCTAGCACACTGAGATACCATGCCGCAGTTTAACATGAATACGCCACTCAGACACAGTATACTGACTCCGTGCCGACCAGTCCTTGTTAATGCCGAGCGCCAGACAAGGTAACAACAAGTACCATATCTTAACGTCTTTTGGTATGACGCGGCCGGGGATCGAGCCCCGGAAATACCGCTCTCCGGGCGGACGCTCTACCACTAGACCACGGAGGCGGTCAAAATATTAAAAAAACTGACGAAGTAGGTAAATAAATGCGACAGAGGCCATTTTTATTATCATTATCAATAAATGACAAAACCCTTTCCATGTGCATAAGAAATTGTTCATAAGTCCATTGTACAATACCGACTACATCAAGAACATGTGTTTATATATCACTATCAAACAGTGATGATACCAGGTTTTCGCGAAGAGGTCAACGTATCCTGCTCCGCCGGTCTACCCATTACAAACACATGCAAAGGCATGTCAATTGTTCACCCGAAAAGACACGGGAACATATGGTACAAGTCAAAATAGGGAATTTCATGGGACATCATGCAATGCATTCCGACCATACATCTAATGCATTTCATGAACCCGACAATCGTGATATCGAAACTTGCTCCTATTGTTCGCCTTTCTATGTGGCTGCAATAATCTGGATCCCTACGTTAAACTATGTTTCATCCCACCTCTGTATTATTACGGGCATGTTCTTTGTAGTGTGGGGGGAGGAGGGGTAGCCTAGTGGTTAAAGCGTTCGCTCGTCACACCGAAGACCCGGGTTCGAATCTCCACATGGGTACAATGTGTGAAGCCCATTTCTGGTGTTCCCCTCCGTGATATTGCTGGAATATTCCTCACAGCGGCGTAAAACCACACTCTCTCACTCACTCTTTGCAGTATGTGCGTGGTCTACTCACACCAATCATATACCTTCCATTTACAATGCCACTTAAAGGGGCACTTTCCTCGGGCCAAGTGGCAGACTGATAAAACCAAGTTTGTATATTTTGCCCTCAAGTTGATGATGACTATAAATCTGCCAGGCACTGGCTGCTCTGACTCCAGAAACTATGTCTCATTTTATTCGAATCTCTTATCTCTGATAGTTCAGTCCAATTCCTTCTGCCAGCGGGGGACACGGGTGGCCCAGTCGTCTAAGGCGCCGTAGCTCGCTGTGCAGAGTTGCGTCCCTTGGACACGCCAGAATCCTAAGATTGTGGGTTCGAATCCCGTTTTCCCCCGGTTATGTTTCTAGGTTTGTCAACACCATACCCGTGCTCGTGGGTTTCGCCGAAGTGGTAAACGCCTGAGACCTGCATCACTTCGTGATTTTTCCTCCCACATTAAGTTGGCACACAGGTAAATTGTTAAAAGCGGCGCTAAACCCAAATCACTCACTCGATCCTGGCTGTATGTACATGGACTGCTTCAATATTTAGTGGACGTCTGAGAGCCATTGTTCGATTGACCGTTACTTCATTTCAACAAAACAGAACCTACAAGCAGTAACTGTTTGGGTATGGTAACGCTGAAATTTGAGTGGAAAATCAGCATCTAATAATTTCGACAGTTTTTGTTTCTAAAAATGTACTATGTAACGCGTTAGGCCCCTATGATATTTTTTTATGTAATTATAAGATGTAACACGTAGTTTAACACATCGGTATCACGGTGTGTAAGTGACGTCGTGACGCACGTGCGTGCATGTACGTGTGAGTTAGCGTATGCGTTTTTGACAGTTCAGACATGAATGCAGCATATAAGGTTCTGAATGTTACCCGTGTGTTACTATATGTTACTTGTATGTTGCTAGGTGTTATCAGTAACTTACCATATGTTACCAATATGTTAAAAGAATGTAACTATATGTTACCTGTATGTTACTATATGTTACCAGTATGATACTATATGTTACCAATATGTTAAAAGAATGTTACTATATGCTACCTGTATGTTACTATATGTTACCAGTATGATACTATATGTTACCAATATGTTAAAAGAATGTAACTATATGTTACCTGTATGTTACTATATGTTACCAGTATGATACTATATGTTACCAATATGTTAAAAGAATGTTACTATATGCTACCTGTACGTTACCATATGTAGCCTGTATGTAACTATATGTTACCAGTATCTTACAATATGTTACCAATATGTTAAAAGAATGTAATTACATGTTTCCTGTATGTTACTATAGTTACTTGTATGTTACTATATGTTATCAGTATCTTACCATATGTTACCAATATGTTAAAAGAATGTAATTACATGTTTCCTGTATGTTACTACATGTTACCCGTATGTTACTATGTCACCTGTATGTTACTATATGTTACTATATGTTACCAATATGTTAAATGAATGTTGCTATATGCAACCTGTACGTTACTAATTGTTACCTCTATGTTACTACATGTAACCAGTATGTTACTTCATGTTACCAATATGTTACTATATGTTACCAGTATGTTACTACATGTTACCAATATGTTAAAAGAATGTTACTATATGCTACCTGTATGTTACTATATGTTACCAGTATGTTACTACATGTTACCAATATGTTAAAAGAATGTTACTATATGATACCTGTACGTTACCATATGTAGCCTGTATGTAACTATATGTTACCAGTATCTTACCATATGTTACCAATATGTTAAAAGAATGTAATTACATGTTTCCTGTATGTTACTACATGTTACCCGTATGTTACTATGTCACCTGTATGTTACTATATGTTACCAGTATGTTACTACATGTTACCAATATGTTAAAAGAATGTTACTATATGCTACCTGTACGTTACTATATGTTACCAGTATGTTACTACATGTTACCAATATGTTAAAAGAATGTTACTATATGCTACCTGTACGTTACTATATGTTACCAGTATGTTACTACATGTTACCAATATGTTAAAAGAATGTTACTATATGCTACCTCTACGTTACTATATGTTACCAGTATGTTACTACATGTTACCAATATGTTAAAGAATGTTACTATATGCTACATGTACGTTACTATATGTGACCAGTATGTTACTACATGTTACCAATATGTTAAAGAATGTTACTATATGCTACCTGTACGTTACTATATGCTACCTGTATGTTACTACATGTTACCAGTATGTCACTACATGTTACCAATATGTTAAAAGAATGTTACTATATGCTACATGTACGTTACTATATGTTACCAGTATGTTACTACATGTTACCAATATGTTAAAGAATGTTACTATATGCTACCTGTACGTTACTATATGCTACCTGTATGTTACTACATGTTACCAGTATGTCACTACATGTTACCAATATGTTAAAAGAATGTTACTATATGCTACCTGTACGTTACTATATGCTACATGTATGTTACTACATGTTACCAGTATATGACTATATGTTACCAATATGTTAAAAGAATGTTACTATATGCTACCTGTACGTTACTATATGCTACATGTATGTTACTACATGTTACCAGTATGTTACTACATGTTACCAATATGTTAAAACAATGTTACTATATGCTGCCTCTACGTTACTATATGCTACCTGTATGTTACTAAATGTTACCAGTATGTTACAACATGTTACTAATATGTTATAAAAATGTTACTATATGCTACCTGTACGTCACTAGATGTTACCTGTATGTTACTACATGTTACCTGTATGTTACTACATGTTACCAGTATGGTACTATATGTTACCAATATGTTAAAAGAATGTTACTATATGCTACCTGTACGTTACTATATGTTACCTTATGTTACTACATGTTACCAGAATGTTACTATATATTACCAGTATGTTGCCATATGTTACCAATATGTAAAAGGAATGTTACTATATGCTGCCTGTACGTTACATGTATGCTACTATATGTTGCCTTCGTTACTATCTGTTGCCTTATATTATTATATGTTGCCTGTATGTTACTATATGGTGCTATATAATGCCTCTATGTTGCTGAATGGCGCCTGTATGTTGCCTATATGCTGCTTTATGTTGCCTGTATGCTGCTTTATGTTGCCTATGAGCTGCTTTCTGTTGCCCGTATGCTGCTTTATGTTGCCCGTTTGCTGCTTTATGTTGCCTACATGCTGCTTTATGTTGCCTACATGCTGCTTTATGTTGCCCGTATGCTGCTTTATTTTGCCTACATGCTGCTTTATGTTACCTGTATGCTGCTTTATGTTTCCTATATGCTGCTTTATGTTACCTGTATGCTGCTTTATGTTGACTGTATGCTGCTTTATGTTGCCTACATGCTGCTTTATGTTGCCTATATGCTGCTTTATGTTACCTGTATGCTGCTTTATGTTGCCTGTATGCTGCTTTATGTTGCCTGTATGCTGCTTTATGTTGCCTACATGCTGCTTAATGTTACCTGTATGCTGCTTTATGTTTCCTATATGCTGCTTTATGTTACCTGTATGCTGCTTTATGTTGCCTGTTTGCTGCTTTATGTTGCCTACATGCTGCTTTATGTAGCCTGTATGTTCCTTTATGTTACCTATATGCTGCTTTATGTTGCCTGTATGCTGCTTTATGTTGCCTGTAGGCTGCTTTATGTTACCTATATGCTGCTTTATGTTGCCTGTATGCTGCTTTATGTTGCCTGTAGGCTGCTTTATGTTGCCTGTATGCTGCTTTATGTTGCCTATATGCTGCTTTATGTTACCTGTATGCTGCTTTATGTTACCTGTAT